AGACTGGTCTACTTGCTGACAACCCCATATGTCTTATTTAAGTTGTTTATATGGTTGATTAAGCTTTACATTGTCCTTTCTGCCTCCCTCATCTCTACATGCCCAAATTCCACCTATCTTTCAGAATGCAGCTAAAGTGTCACCTTTCCCGATTCCATCAACCAGAAGTAATTTCTGACTTTTCTGAAGTCTCACTGTACCAAATCAGCTTCACTTCTAGGGAAAGTCTGTACTTCTTGCCTTAATATATAGTTATTTTTGAGCCAGCTTTTTGCCTACTATATTGTGGACAATGGACAGAAAATGGCATATGAAATCACAAAATGGATCAGTAAGATGTTTAACTCTATTCTTGATTCTTCATGCACAATAGATATTCAGTATTTACCGAAAGGAAAAAGAAAGTGAATGAATGTCCTGAGGAAAAGGTATGATTTCATTCTTTAAATATTTTAATGCAGTTTATATTTCACTTGAACTCTCCTACTTATAGCATGTAAGAGATGTTAGAACTTAAACAAAAAAATTCTACTACAGTTTTGGCAGTTTTCCAATTTTTCTCTAGGAAAGTGAGTCTAACCTAGGATGATGGTGTTTCATTCAGTAATACTTATTGGGTGCCTACTGTGGGTAGGCTCTGTTCTTGGCAATTATACTATTGCTACATAAAAAAGACAAGACTCCTGCTCTCAAAGAGCTTTCATTACAGTGGGAGGTGGCTAAAATCATATTTGTTAATAAATTAAGAAGAAAATAAAAGATCAAAGTACACATAATGAATGAAATACAAGAAGATGATAGGATAAAACGCTGGCATGGGGATGGTAAATCTTCCTTTAGACTACATGGTTGGAGAAGGCTTCTTGAAGAGGCAGCATTTAAGCAGAGAGTGTGATGACAAGAAGGAGTCTTGCAGTGATCAGGACAGTGATCACTGTTACAGGCAGAGGGGACACCTATGACAAAGGCTTTAGTGCAGGATGACTTTGGTTTGTTGAAAAACAGAATTAGGGCTGGGATACAATGCACTAAAGGAAGAGTAGTATGAGTGCAGCTGGAGGGTCAGATTATATATAGGCCCTTGTAGGTCATGGTAACACATTCAAATTTTATTTTTTTAAGTGTAATAGAAATCCAATAGATGGTTTCATGAATTGGAATGATGGAATGACATATATGCTTTATGTCTTTAGAAGACCAGAGGGCCTGCTGTGTGAAGGATGTTATTGGAAAGGGCCAACAGTAGAAGCTGGAAGACTCATCTGAAACTAAGTCAGAATTGATGGTGATCTGGCTTGGTCCAGGACAGGGAAGTTAAAATGGAAAAATATGACCAATTCAGAGTATATGTTAGAAGAAAAGTCAACAGGACTAGCTGAAAATTGGATGAATGAGGAGGGAGTGATTGAAATTAAAGAACCGGATATGAATTATTTCCATTTTTTCCATTAGTCTCCCATTCCAATAATCATGAATCCTTACCTCTAGTCCCTGTATCAATTTTAGTTAACTAGCATTTGCATAGGAATTCATAATTTACCCATTATTTTTTCCATCACGCTTGGATTAAAAAATTGTAATATGTTAAATGTGGATAATGGCATAGCAATCTGCCTTCCACCTGGAAAGTTGCAACTCATATTTCAAGTCTCACTGTTTTATCTTACTTCCTCTGTGCTGCATTCATTGACTCCACTCCCATGTGAGACTTAGGAAAACTTCTTCTACATTATTTCTATATGTTGCATATGCGTACATAACAGTAATGATTTTATATTTTTCCCTATAGTATTATCATTGCTCCCAATAGACTGAGCTTCTAGAATTTACAGATTAAAAAAAAAAACAAAAAAAACCTTTATATCCCCTACTATATAGTATTTGCAGAAAGAGTGATGGGTACATGAATGAAAAAATTTTTGGTGATTTCACTTTACCTAACTTATGGCAACTGGTAATTCCACCACTTCCTAAATACCTCCAGTGGTCACCTTAACACTTAAAAAGGCTACCTATTCCAATTTCAGATAGATCTGAGTGTTGTAAACTTCTTAAATTGAGCTAAAATCTTCCTTCTTAAAATTTCCACCTTTTAATCTTTGGTCTACCCACTCACTAAATGGATAAACATAACAAGTTCAAAAACTACTTTTATCGTATTATAGTGAATTATAGTTGAATTACAAAAACTTTATATACAATATTCTTGAATTAGGTAGGAAGTTACATTAGTATGAAATCTATTAACTTCCAGAAACAAGCATTATATTTACCAGACTCTGAACACTCAATTTGTAAGAATTAATGTTATGAATCATGTATTAGTGTCCCAAAAGCAATACTTCTGGTTATTTATTAAAAACAATTAGAGGTAATTTAATTATTTTTAAAAATCATATATATGTACATGTATATATATATATATATATATATATATATATACATACATATAAAGGAGCCCTGGTGGCATAATGGTTAAGCCCCTGGCTGCTAACTGAAAGGTTGGTGATTCAAATCCACACAGAGGCACCATGGGAGAAAGATCTGGCAATCTGCTCCCGTAAAGATTATAGCCTAGAAAACCCTATGGGGCAGTTTTACTCTGTCACATGTGGTCATTATGAGTTGAAATTGACTCAACAGCACCTTAGAACAACAACATATATATAATAGTTAATAGCAATTAAGAATTTCCCTTTATAAATAAGTTCTGATTGAGGATTTTGAAAATCTATTGACATTTTTCCAGCCAGAATTTTCCCAGCAACAAGACCACTTCTTCATATACATGCAGAAAGAACCAATAAGCAAGGGAAGGTATATTGTCGATGTTTAAAGGGAAAAAAATTGGAGTCAGGCAGACTTGGGTTCAAAAGCAAACTCCTACTAGCTCTGTAATCTTAAGAAGTTATTACCATTCTGACTTGAAATCTCTGCTTCTTCATCTCCGTAAAATGGGGAGAACATTGCATTTTCATGAGTTTGTGATGAAGTTTAAATAAGGAAATGTACATAAAGCTCATAACAGAAACTTTTACCACATAAATAACAAATGATAATACCATTATAACATAGTAAACTATGAGTAGTGTTTTATCAAATGATAATTCTAGAAGAGTCTGTCAGAGATTTTTGCGGCAGCGATTCTTGCATAAGTTTGGAGCAGTTAGAGTCATAAAGGGCATTAAATACCCACTGTCATCAAGTCAATTCTGACTCACAGAAAACTTATAAGGACAGAACAGAACTGTCCTACAGGGTTTCCAAGGAGCAGTTGGTAGAATCGAACTGCTGACCTTTTGGTTAACAGCCAAGCTCTTTAGCCACTGCACCACCAGGACATTAGGGATCACAGAATCCAAACTGCATGATTCTCTATGTAAATATCTTTCACTGATAGCTGAGAAGTCTTTTAAATATTGACTACTCTATCTCGAGGGGATTTATAATATCATTTAAAAATTATTCTTAATTGATAAAGGACTTTTGCCTCATGTATAGAGTGTGATCTGAAATTTTATTACGAGATGGTTTTATTTATTTTCAACTACCTTATACTATTGATGATTATAATAATATTTATAAGCCATATACTCTGAATCTGACCGTGCTAGAAGCTTTACATGGATTGCCTTATTTAATCTGTTGAACAAACCAGTGAGGTAACTATTCTTATCAACCACAGTTTACAGGATTAGAGAACTGAAGCTTGAGAAAGTCAGACATGCCTTTGTTTATTTAACAAAGTGGTTTACTATGTGGCAATATACTGTTTTAAGTCCTCTATAAATATTAACTCATTTAATTTTTAAAATAGCTCTATGAAGTAGATTCTGTTTTTATCATCTCCATTTAAGCTTAGGAAATCAAGGCTTGGAGTCTTTAATATATTCCCCAAGGTTACACTCCTAGTCAATGGCAGTGTGGAGATTCCAATCCAGGCAACCTGGCCCTATGGGTCAGCTTCTCCACCATCACACATGGCTGTTTGTGAGTAGTGATTAAGCAAGACAGAGTTTACAGCCTATGTTCTTGGCTTCTCAGCTATATTGCCTCACTTTAATAATCTTCTTTTTAAAGAGGGCAAACAGATAGTTAGAATAGTTAAGAGAACTTGTCAAGGCCACACAGCTGGTATCTCATGGAGCAGAGATTTAAGCCCAAACTGAGGATTCATTCACTAAGCTGTTCTGCTTCTTCTTTTTACTAGTTAAAAGTTACATTTCCAAAAGGAAACCACTACATTTATGTTTACTGGATACTTTATTGCAAACAAACAAAGAGCCTGTTACTACTTACATAAAGAAGTGTGCTGACTTGGCAGATGTATTATTTCTGCTTGTGATGTTTTCAAATGACTGCTGTTTTTCCAGAATTTGAGATCCACAAATGTGCTGAGTATGACATATTTAAAACATCACGATTTTTTTCTTATATTTTTGAAATGTAGATTATGATTCTGACATCTTAAATTCTGCTTTGTCAGATACAGACCCCAGAGTCAGAAAGAGCTGCAGATTCCCATCTGATCCAGGTACAAAGACTTCAAATGAATTTCTGCTACTAAAGTCAGAATAAAACCAAACCCGTTGCCATCGAGTCGATTCTGACTCATAGTGACCCTACTGGACAGAGCAGAACTTCCCCACTGGGTTTCCAAGGAGCAGCTGGTGAATTGGAACTGCCAACCTTTTGGTTAGCAGCCGAACATTTAATCACTGTGCCACCAGGATAGGACTTAAATGAGGTGTACCAAGAGCTTAAAGGTAACATTTTTATTTCAGTGAGGGAGAGAGAGATGCAGAGAATAGGACTAGATCGTAAAGGATGTCTTTTTCTAGACAAAACTCCATATTAAATTATAGGCTAATATCTTCAGAATGAAACAGTGTTCCAAAATGACTATATAAAACATCACTTCAGCAACCTTTCTTATTACACTGTGATTATGCAGATCTATAAATGTGTTTACAACCATGAACAAATAGAAGCCACCTTACCTATAAATGAATGGAGCTACTGTGGCAGTATTTGGATGACTATGTTGCTGCTGCTGAGGAAGTTGGACAGCACCATTTCCTGTGCTCTGTCCACTGCTTTGTGCCACTGGCATGGTACAAGAACCAGAGGGAGAAGCTTGGCCAATTTCCCTTCCTTCCAAAGGAGTAGGGCAGTTGGATGTGCTTGCTTTCTCACTGGTCATGGGCTTAGGTATGGACTGGGAAGGGATTCCTTTGGTAGTCCTGAATTTTTCAGACTCTTTGTTTGCTGTGTTGCTGGGTGAAACAGTTTGCTTTGCTGTTGGCACCTTTGAGCCTGGTTTTGGAATCCCACTAGAAGATGGGATTAAGCTTTCCTTCTTGGCTGCGGTCGTCTTGCTACCCTTTGGGATCAAGCTTGCAATTTTAGAAGTCTTTTTTGGAGCTGTCTCCATCACCTGATCCTTCTCTTCCTTGATGGGTTTTTCAGTGCAAACTTTATTTTTGTCCCTGTTCTTTTCCTCTTTTTCCTTTGGCTGCAGCAAAGACTTTTTATTGCTGAGATTTTTGCTTCCAGCTTTTGGAGGGGTCAATTTAGGTGATACTTTGGGGCTGCTATTTGTTGAGCCACCACTATTCAGACCACTGTTAAAACCTTCCATTTCACCAGATTCAGAAAAGGCATCCTCATCCTTCCCACCATCACTATGACCTGAACTGGAAGAGTGTGGGGGGCGTAAAGCAGTCCGGGCATTGACAAGCTTGAATTTCTCAAGCATGGATTTCTGTCCCGAGGGAGCTGTTTTGACTCCTTCTGTGACAGGTGGCTTCAGTCTCTCTGAAGATGGTGTGGGCGAGGTGGCTGGGCTTGACTGCTTTATAGTCAGCATGGTAGAGGTGGCGCTGTGCTTGACATTCATGGACTTGCTCCGCCAGGGCTTGCTGGCACTAGGAGAAGGGATGGCGGAGGCAGGGGGCTGCCCAGCAGTGCTGGCAGGCTGCATGTTGCCATTTACACCTGAAGATGGTTGAGGTCCTTTGGAGGAATCTGAACATTATTAGAGAGAAAAGAATGAGAAAAAAAAAAAAAAAAAGAAAGGGTGATTAGTTTTGATCATTTATATTGCACCATTAAGTAACTACAGAGGCATGGAAGCATCCTTCTGCTGAATAGAAAACAGACATGCTATGTGGCATCAATCACTTTGGTGATGTGATTCTTTTTTGTACCATATATTAAAAATAAAGAATCCTTGACAGGCATCGGTATTTGGGGAAAAAAAAGTTTTGCCCTCCTCTAAAATAACTCCTACTTAAATGGACTTTGCTAATCACAAATACCTAAAGATGAATAAAACGCTATTCTTCCTCTAAGTAATTCGCTGTTTGTTTGTTTTTTTTTCCAAGCTACTACTGGAGCTTATACCAGTAAATGGATATTCCATATTGCTTTGTAAAAAAAGAAAAAATATGTTTTATAATGAATACTGAGAAACTGCTTTAAGTCACAGGAAGTTTAGCTTATGGTTATCTGATTAAATATGCTTATGAGTCATGCCTTAGTTTTCTGTTAATTTTTTAAAATTTTATTTGTATAAAAGAATCATTAGAATTCATACTATGTGTTAAATAATCTACTAAACATACATATTTATACAAACTGATCCTTATAAATCATTATATAATTAATATAGAATTATAATATGTACTAAATTATATATATAGTATATATAATTATTATATAAATTAATTCTTATAAAAATCCTATAAGGGATGCATTGTATTATCATTCTAATTTTACAGATAAAAAAACTGAGGCAGAGAAAGACTAAATAACTTGCTCAAGGTCACAAAGCATGGATCTGAACTGATTTCAGAGCCTGGGCTCTTAACCAGTACACCTACTGTGTCCTGTACTGATTTGAACAAACTTTAAATTTTAATACAAATCAAGCTACCTACTGAGAGTCAATGAAAAATAAAACCTTTGTTATATAAGTACCTTGTAATGCACTAGTGTTTGCTTAATTTCCATTCAGAAGTCACATATCTTCATATGACTGGTCTAGCACTGATTAATGCCTGATTACAAGTCTTATGTTTAAGCAACAGTAAGTAAATCAAAGAATGGACTTTATAACATGGTATAGAATTAAAAAAAAAAAAAAAAGAACTGAACTTGGAGTTAAAAGACCTCAATTTGAATATTAACATTTGGGAACTGTGCAATTTTGGTCATTTAACCTAATCAACAATTTCATCAAAACATAAATGTCTTCTTCTTCCCTTCTCTTTTAATTTCGAGGAAAAGGGGTCATTAAGTAAGGTAGTTAATATATATTGTTAGTATACTTGATATTGACAGATTGGTGCAAGGCTATTTTTGATAAAATGTCCAATGGAAATATTTTATAAAGAATATTCCTTATTCATAATATTTATAAATTGGAGCTCCTTAAATTTAAATATTCATAAACGTAAAGCTATAAAACTTTTACTTTTACAATGTGTTCTTGAAAAAACTCAAAATGAATTACAAACAATATATAATTAAACCAACTGTTAAAGGATTCTAGTCTTACCCATTTTTCATAAGAGGAAATTGAGACTAAAAAAAGGAAATAACAAAGTTAGAGATAAGAAAACAAGTTAAATTGTTAATTTAATGTTGAGTGAGGTAGGCAGGTTTTACTTTTTTGAAAATAATTTTACCTAAAATAAGATAGTAAGCATGTAACATTTATAGGAATGACAGTGATATTGTAGACAAATGCATTTTACGTGAAATGTTCTTATACAACTTAGTATACTGATATTGACTTCTAGTTCTCACTACCCTCTGCAACTTCTCACTTCAATTGGCAACAACTACGTACTCTAAATTAAAATGTAAAAGTTGTCTGAAAATTTAAAATGCTTATATGGTACTGTTTAAATTTTATAACATCTGAGGATAAATCGATATTTTTTCCCAGTATCCGTGTAAAGTGTTTAATTGTTTCCATGTATGGGATATCTGTAGAAATTTGCTAGGTTCATATACAAACACTATGGTGTTCTGAAAAACAATACAGTATTTACTAATTTAATAAAAATAAACCCAGCAGTCTTCCAAACCTCCAGTTTCTCAAACATTTTTACTCTCTGTAAATGGATTTCAACCTTTGCTTAGTATTTGGGTTATAAGTATGAATAATTCCAAATCTACTTCATGCACAGATCCTCTTCAGGGAATGTTAACACTTCATCAGAATTTGAATAGTTCTCACACACTGACTGCATACTGGTAGGAATGCCTACCAAATATTTCTCCAGACTTATTTCTACTTGGGTCTCATCTCAGTTTTGACCTCACTTCCTCTGAAAAACATAACAAACCAAAACAAAAATGACTTGACCTGGAACCCTATGTCTGACCATCATAATACCAAGTCTGGATTAGATGGCTGCTCCACATTTTTCCATAGCTCACTACTTCCTCTATTACCGCCATTATCACTCTACTATAACTGCTTGTTTCCTCCACTACATGGTACATTCCTTGAAAGCAAAGACCATGCCTGTATTATTTGCAGTTTTATACTTAACATCCAATGTAATGCCTAACACTGAACAGATTGTTCACATAGAAGTTCTTAAAATTCATAATCTTATTGGGTTACCCAATGGCAGTACCCTTTTTGCATATTGATGCCACCAGCTAACAATGTATTAGGAATAAACAAGAAAGTACATGATGGTCTTGGTGATGGTGGTGGACTAATGAAATGACTAAGCAGTGGCCTACAAATACTGAAAACATCTAGATGGACAGCCCAGGTCAAGGTTTTGGGCTGTATATCATTTGCCTGAAAGGACATTTACATGTGGCATGCAATTTCCATGCCTGGTCTCTCAGGGTCCCAACTATTCAATCATGACCCGTTTGTCTGCTTGCAGCACATGGTTTATACTATAAAGGCTCTTTTGTTTGGTTTGTACTTGAGCCTTACTAGTATATTTCAGACACCAAGGAAGTAGGCTTGCATTGAAGTGCACGGCTTTCCTGGGCTACCAATGATGTCATTCACGGGCTCAGAAGAACTACAGATACAGAAGCACTGTAAGTTCTCTTCATATCCCAAAGATTCATCATGGAATTTTTCTAAATTTATACAGGTAAAATAAACAGATACATGTAAAATGCACCTTTCACATAAAGTATTTTACATTAATTTTCTTTGGTTTATCTCACTCCTAAATTCTATAGTTTATATTTTATCTTCAACTTCCTTCCTCTTAGAGAAGGAATATTTGTGTTACTACTATATGCCAGTATTCCACTTCTTAGCCATTAAAAAAATCTGTTGCCATCGAGTCAATTCTGATTTATAGCATCCCCATCTGTGTCAGAGTAGAACTGTGTTACACAGAGTTTTTTAATGGCAGATTTTTCAGAAGTAAATCACCAGGTCTTCTTCTTCCTAGGCACCTCTGGGTAGACTTGAACCTCCAACCTTTCGGTTAGCAGTCACATTCCACGTCCTTGGTAGGGCAGTCATAGTCCACTGTGTAGTGATAAGGTCATAAGCCAATAGTTACATAGGACCTACTATAAAATAGGCACTGAACTAAGTATTTAACTTAGTCTCCCCAACAACTGTATAAAGTTTATTGTTATTATTATTATTACTCTCATTTTACACATGAAGAAACTGAGGCACAAGAAATTAAATAACTTGACCAAGGTTACATAACTTGTACATGGCAAAGCTGAGAACTGAACTTGGCTTAGATTCTATATTAATTCAGTCAACTATTATACTATTAATCAAATGTATAAGGATAAATTCAATGTCTGGTTGATTACAAAAATTATTCCTTTAATATAAAAACAGAACGCAACAAAAATGGTAATTGTCAAATTAATACTCTTCATAGGATTACATCAAGTGAAATTTATTTCTCAAGTACTCAGATTCAATTAGAAACTAAGAACCCTTCCAAACACAATGATTTCTCCAACTTCAATAATTATATGCATCTCCATGTACTTCACCCAGAAACTCACTGTTTTGCTGATTTCTGTTCAACACATATGACTATTTTTCTACTATATCCAGAAGCATTAATTAATGCTCTTTAGTGGCTACTCTCTATAGGACTCTAATCCAGGCACAACATCTATTAATATTTACTGAGTGGCTATTCTATGCAAGACGCTCCCAAAAATCTTATAAACTAGCTGGGGGACAGGAAACAGACTTATAAAATATAAATGTCACTACATGGTGGCATATGTTAAACACAAAATTCAGTGGGAAGTAGAAGAGAAAGTGGTAAAGAAAATCAGAGTTGTAAGGGATTAGAGGTTTGAACAATCTAAAATAAGATCAAGACAGATGAGCTAAGGGAGATGTGTAGGCATGCAAGGCAGAAGGAACATTTAAAGAATTTTTTAAGGAACTAATAAGCTATTCTGTTTGTTTACATTTCAAAAATATGTACATACATATACTAGGATATACACGTGGAGAGAAACATGGTACCCAAAGAATCAGATGCTATTCTGCTTGGGAATATTGTTAAGAGAACATGGTGACATCATAGTGAATTAAAGCTAACTCTCTTACATTGATCTCAAAAGCTATTTGCCACATTTCTTATTCTAAAATGAACAAAATAATATTAATAATTATAAAAACTATAATAATGCTGTTGTTTTTGGTAGTTGCCATTGTGCTGATTCCAGCACATGGCAGGAAAGTAGACCTGCTCTTTAGAGTTTTCAAGGCTGTGACCTTTTGGAAGAAATTTCCAGGCCTGTCTTCTGAGGCACCTCTGGGAAGGTTTGAATCACCATCCTTTCAGCCAGCAGTGGAACACTTAAACTTTGCACCATCCAGGGACTCCTATAATAATGCTAATTGGCATTTATTGAAGGCCTTTAATCTGCATTATCACACATTAGTCTTCACAACCCTAAGAGGTGGGAAGGGCTTATATCGATAATTCAAATTTATGTAAACTGAAGCTTGGTGAGCCAAAGCAGCTCATGCAAAGCTGCAC